TATAAATACATAGTAACTGAGGACGGATAAGTCTAGTGGATTGGATTCTCTTGTATTATTTGCGGACTGTGATGTAATGGCCTAGTAGCGTTAAGTTAAGTTTCTATCTCATAAAATCAATTTCACTTAGAGTTACCTAGAGTTAAGTTTTCTATTATCTAGACTTAATATGTTAATGATACATGCTTATTTATAAGTTTTTATTACCAAGAATTAATAGTATTTCGGTACTTGTCCCTCGTAAAGTTCCTCCTAATGTCCATGACCATATTATCGAGAATATTAATACTCTGTTTAATTCTTAGCAGGGATCTTATTTATCGCGAGTGGGGAGGATTGTCTTTGTTAACTTAATGCTTAATGTTATTTCTTTGCACTCTCTTATAATTAATTTTATGTTAAATTTTATCTTAACAATAATAATTATATTATTAGAGATTTTCTTTAAACCAAAGGTGATCTTGTGGGAAAATCATGGGGGCAACATCACATGCGTAGCGGAAGAACAAGAAAACAAAATCCCCGATTCCCTTATGATGTTCGTCGTCGTGCGAAGATTGGTGCGCAAAAATCCGTGAAACATGAAAACTGCGTATAGAGTAGGTTGTGTTACCTAGGGAGATCGTATATCCTTGTTTCCTTGCAGATCCTTAGGAGAGGGTGAAGGAGGTCAAGCGTCCTCCTCTCTAGCGGTGATCCACACAGCAGGATTGCGACGACGCTCCTCAAAAAACTCCAGGCCTGATCTGAGGTGGAGAGGAAGAGGAGAATAGGAAAGGCAAGAAAAGGCTCTAGCCTATGAGGCTCTGAATCCCTCCTATTTATAGAGGTCCCCTGTCAAACCCTAATGGGTCCTCCCCTAGTGGGTATTGGATCTGCATCCAATAAGACAAGGGCTCCGTCGGATATCTCATATCCGAACCTCTACTCATCGCAATCCCTACCATATGTGTGTGACCCTCTAGGCCCAATATCGAGCTGGCCGTGAGTCATACCTGTCAGAACTCCTTCTAACTCAGTGAATTATTATCTCTGTAATAATTCACTTGACTCATCGACTACGGACGTACTAGGCCACTACGTCGTAGTCCCAGACGATACAGGGGAATCCAATCCATTGGACATGTCTGTCCTCATTTACCATGTACCTATAGTCCCTCATCCATCTAATATCCCAGAGACCGTATATTGAGCATGGTGCTGTCAGACCCATACGGTTTCTACTCGAGTCTCGCTCTAATCGGATTCTCCCGGAGAACTCTTTCTCTCTCAACCCGAATGACCCTAGCCAGGGATTTGTCTGAGCAAGAACACATGGGATATTCCTCTCATGACGCTGAGAGTGGATGATCCTCTATCGACACTCAATAGCCCTCGTAAGGTCGACTACCACTCCCAATGACCAGTTGTACTAGATTTGAGACAGCCAAACCTATAAGTCTAGTATCAAAGAGTGGAGCACTCATACAGGACATCCTTGGTGTCTCAAGTCTAAGGACCATATACACCACTAGGACTACGGAATCGCTGTCTGATAATAAGGCATCATTAACCATCCAGCATTCCGTAAGCGGATCAATCAGTGAACTCATTCTCCAATGAGCACTTGTACTGTATCCCTAGTGTCCCTACACGAGCAGCTATGAGACCAGCTGCATCCATCATATGGACGGGTATACAGCACACCATTCTATTTGGTTATCACGATGTCCCTCTCGAGTAACCTATGACCGGGATCATTTAGGATATGTGTTTAAAGGTGAATCGATCTCATTATCGTGATCTCATCACGATCCGATTCCCATTGCACAAATCCAAGGACATCACAATATATGTATGCATTTATGCAATAGATATAAAGTGATATACGCCAAAATATAATAAGCAAAAAGATTCTGTATCAAGTCACACGTGCCATCACTCACGTGATTGGCTTGCTGGGCACCTATGACTAGCAGATCTCTCTTGTGGTATTCATTTGATTTATTAATATATTATTTTTACTCCTAAGTCTTGTGAAGGCTTAGGTATTCATGATATTTATTTGATTAAATTGGCTTTTGCATGAATTTTTTAATTTATGGGTTAATGTGATTAGAACGAAATAAGATACATTGATCCTCGGCATATGTCTAGTAGTGATAAGTGCAATCGGAGGTAGAAATGTTTTCTCAAAGCTTTGAAACAATACGTTTTGGTTTTGTAAAGAATGTTAGTAATGGTCGATTTCTTTTCAATAACTCAATTTTTTATCTTTCCCGTTGATTTTCTTTAATATTAGTTTGAGATCTTAACTTTGTTTTGTAAATGAGTTGACTACTCATGCTGATTGGAATGATTTCAAAATGTACCCATTATTTGGGTCTCCCTATCTAATAAGGTTAGTAGGTTTGATATTCCATGGACACCTAATGTTTCTATTTGGGCTCATGAGAAGAATAGCTTAGCAATAGTAAGATTTGGCCCCTGCCCACAAATGGGATTGGTGGCAATGCTTATGATTCCGCCCATCTAAGTTTTTTTTTTGTTGGAATTTTCTACATGAGCATAAGAATGAGTGGATTAAAGCCATGCAAGAATAGATGAGATCCTTACTTGAGAACTACACCTATGACTTGGTAAAATTACCTAAAGAGAATAAAGCTTTCAAGAATAAATGGGTTTACAAATTGAAGACTGAAAATAATAGCTCACAACAAAGATACAAGGCACGACTAGTTGTGAAATGATTCAGTTAGAAGAAAGGTATTGACTTTAAAGAAATATTTTCTCTAGTTGTGAAAATATCCTCTATCCGAGTTATTTTTGATTTGGCTGCCCATTTGAATTTAGAAGTTAAGCAACTTAATGTGAAAATAGCATTTCTTCATGGTGACTTAGAAAAAGAAATTTACATAGAGCAATCAGAAAGTTTCAAAGTCAAGAGAAAAGAAAATCTGATGTGTAAGCTTGAGAAAAGCTTATGTGGACTTAAATAGTTACCTAGACAATGGTACAAGAAGTTTGATTCCTTTATGATGAGCCAAGGGCATGATAGAACCATATATGATCATTGTGTGTTTATGAAGAAATTTTCAGATGATGATTTCATTATTCTCCTGCTATATGTAGATGATATGCTAATTGTTGGTCATGATGTTGGTAAAATTGAAAAGTTTAAAAGAGAGCTAAGTAAGTCTTTTGCCATGAAAGACTTGGGATCGGTGAAACAAATATTTGATATGAAGATTCTTCGTGATAGGAAGAGAAGGAAGATTTGGTTATCTCAAGAGACTTATATTGAAAAGGTTCTTGAAAGATTCAACTTGAGTAAAGCCAAAGCAGTTTATTCTCTACTTGCAGGTCATTTCAAGCTTAGTTCGAAACAATGTCCTACAAGTGAGAAAGAAAAAGAAGAAATGTCCAAAGTACCTTACTTGTATGCAGTAGGTAGTTTGATGTATGCTATGATTTGTACTAAGCCAGATATAGCTCATGCAGTTGGAGTTGTTAGCCGATTTCTCTCTAATCCTGGAAAAGAACATTGGGCAGTAGTGAAATGGATATTAAGATATCTAAAAGGTACTTCCAGATTGTGTTTATGTTTTGGCAGTGATGAACCTGTGTTAGAAGGGTACACAAATGCAGACATGGTAGGTGATACTGATTCCAGGAAGTCCACTTCAGGATTCTTGATGACATTTGTAGGAGGAGCAGTCTCTTGGCAGTCAAAGTTACAGAATTGTGTTGCTCTATCAACCATAGAAGCAGAATACATAGCAATTACTAAAGCCTGCAAGGAAGCTTTATGGATGAAAAAGTTTCTACAGGAATTAGGCTTGAAACAGGAAGGATATACTATTTACTATGATAGTCAAAGCGTTATTCACCTCTCCAAGAATTCAACATACCATTCAAGATCAAAGCATATTGATGTGAGATATCACTGGATTCGTGATGTGTTTGAGTTGAAAGAATTACAATTAGAAAATATACATACTAATGAGAATGGATCAGATATGTTGACAAAGTCTTTGCCTAAGTAGAAGCTTGAAGCATGTAGGTGAGAGCGGGCTTAGTACGACCCACCATATGAGTTGGAGGGGGAGAATTATTGGGTCTAGCCCATATGTGGGCTTGGACAATTGGGCCTTTTTGAGCCCAAATGTTAATTAAAAGGCAAAATATAAGGGCAACGAATTTGAGATCAGCGAGCGTGCAACAGCAGCAGCGACGCGCAAAGAGAGAGAAAAGAACAGAGAGAGAAAAGGAGAGAGAAAGATTAGGATCTTGAGTTTTCTGCTTGACGATCATTGGCCAAACGTTGTCAGTTTTGACCCAAATTTTATGAAGAGAATTCTTGCAGTATGCTCTATAATCCTAATGGTGTTGATCTATAGTTTACCCTCTCTGAGGTACTTTCCTACTATACCCACTTTGTGAGACCTAGAATTCTCAGATCCATCCTATGTGATGATGATATACTATTGTTGAGCCGATATCTATATTTTTGATGTTATTGTGATCCTCTAGTTATTCTAGAGAAGTTTTACTGTAAACATATTATCATTACTATTGATAGTGGAAGTTTGAGGTGGACTACGGTCCCGTGATTTTTCTCACATTGGATTTTTCATGTTAAAAATTTGATATCACTGTATGATTGATTTATTGCTCTATTGTTTATGCTGTGTTGGTTGATATTTGAATTTTGATATCAAGTTAGTATTTTGATGAGAAACCTATTTTGATACATAAAGAGAAAAAATAATTATTCCACTTTAATATATTTTTTCTAACATAAGATTATGCAAATGAAACTCACCTTTTACTACTTCCCTTTGTCAAAATAAAGAATATCATATAATTATAACTTTACAAAACATATTAATCCATTTTATAGTTGAGATATTATCGATGATTTCCTGTCAATGAGACCGACAAGATCTATGATTGTGATCATGCACATTATATACATTGATGATCTGCAAATTGATTTAAAATTTTATTTTTATGTATATTTTATTAAAGAACTTCTATCAGAAAAATTTTACAGAACAATAGCGTTTTCACTTCTCATAGTAACAGTGATAACAACTACTTGAATGAGCACGTAGGCTGCAATGGAAATTACAACAGTAGCAATCTTCACTAGTTATATATTACAGCGAACGTAGAAGTCCACATGCTCGAAGCAATAGACCAACGACACTTCATAGCACCAGCCATATCACTGTCCAAAACAATTCTGCCAACTTATGAAATCATTCCTCATCAAGGTTGGTAATTTTCTCATGCATCAGAAACACGCAACTTCTGCAGTGATTAAACAATCGTTTGTTAGTCAACATTCATATATATATGTGTGTGTAATATAAAGAGAGAAAGAGAGGATAAGAAGAAACAAATAAATAGGTCAGGAGTAGAAGAATGAGTCAAAATGAAAGATGTCGTTACCTCAGTCAGATTCTTTAGCTCTTCTATATTATCTGCAAGCTGTTGCTGCTTGGCGAAAAGTGTTTGCAAGATCTAAGAGGAAGAAATTGACAGATTGACTGGTTTTACAAGTAACGGCTCCTCAAGATTCCAAAAGTTAAGACAGTTCTCACCTCGTTGGTTTCCACAAGCCATTCTTCTAGCTCTGAGATTTTCTGTGCCAAATGCTTAGATGCAGAAGCTGTTCCCATGTATTGCTCCAAACTATCAATTCCCTGCATTAGATTGTTTAAGATCGTCAAAATACATACTAGTGCACATACAAGTCATGTTGTCCAGAACATGAGTTTGATCATACTTTCCCCCTAGATAGGAAAGTTCATCGAGATTGAGTGTTTATATTTGAAGATAAGAAACTGAAACCAATTACAGAATCTAAGGACTGTGATTAAGTCTCTTCAATTTGTACATATAAAGATTGTGACATTAAATGAGAAACTCTTTTTTCTTTTCTTTTCCTTTTCCGAGCTGGTGTCAATAATATGGCAAATTTTGCTCAAATATCATGTATGCTGTCTTGCCTGTTAGGTTCAAAAGAAGGGAAATAAAGTTCAGTATAACCATTGAAGAACAAATTTTCATGTAAGAATCTTCATTTTCATAATCTTTAATGATTTGCAATTACGTCTTTTTGAAGAACATAAATTTCTATGGCTATTTTAGAGATGGAATTTTAAGAACTCTTATCCCTTGAATAAGAAGATCACATAATTTTTGAGGAGCAAAAGCTGATCAATCACTAGAATGCTTATTATGCTATAGTAGTGAGAGTAGCTGTATTAATCAATCCAACTAATCTTCAAATAGATCAGACGGTAAAACTAAAAAAGATAAAAGCATTGATTCTACCATATTCTTGGATAAATAAATAATTTTTTGTTCTCACCGTTGAGTTCCATGTAATATGATTCACTAATTAAATCAAGAGAATCAAGGTATGTACATCCAGAAATAAAACTGTGGTGATCAATCCAATCTACTTCTAAGCTCTAGCACGACCAACGACTTATCTGACACTATGAATATGAAGTTCAACAAGAAATAATATCATCGCGCACAGTTAATTTCCAAGAGGGAAATTTTATGCTAGTTTGATATATTCATGTTTCACAACTAATGTGTTGTATGTTTGCATGTTTGACTTAGTGTATGTTTGGTGTCATGGATTTAAATGGTATATAGTAAGGTATTTGAGTAAATATCTATAATTGTTAGGTTGTTTTGTTTGGTTTCACATAGCAAAAAAAAAAAAAGTTATATTGTTTCCATGTAGTGGGTAAATGGATGAAAATAAGTGAATTACTGTAGTCCAGTTTCTGAATGAGGAATTTGAATAAGGTTGTTATCTTCTTTCTCTCATCTTTCAAATCCAATCTACCATAGCAGCCCTAAGAATTTTAGAGTCCCCATGGTCGATCCATGATTGTAAGCTAATGTTCACCTATATATTTAAGCAAAGCATTTCTTGTAAACACCAACAAGATTATATATGAGCTGCAACGCAGATTCTTCAACATGATATTGCCCAAATTATAATTCTTTCTTTAGTTTTCCTCTGATATGTGATATAACAAGCTTTAAGAAGGAACACTCACAATATAATTTTCAGTCTTGGGAGTGGTTGCAATAGAATTTGACCCAAGTCGTCCATCAGAGGTTACCTGCAGATAGAAATGAGAAAAGCATCAACAGACTTTCCCTACTTGCAAGATAAAAAAAACTCATAAACAACATTAGTAGAAGAACTAGGAGCCAAAGATGTTACGACTTGGGACTTGCTGAGCTCTTTGAAAATGTTTTCGTCAGTTGGTTCATCCTCAAGTTTTTGTGCTTTGTAGAACACTTCCTGAAGAAAGAAGATAACACTTGAGCTGAGTATGGCAAGATAGCAGATCAAAGGAATCATATACGGGCAACATGGGAACTTTACCATTAACTTGGATTTGATTTCTGGGTCAGTCCATGGTCCTTTGTCTTTCCGTAAGCAGCCTCCATGCTCAACACACTTGCACTTGCCACCAAAGAACTCTGGTATATTACTGAAAACATAAATAGATAGCGTCACATCGATTCACTTCACAGGCAGTTCTAAAAACAAAAACCATATGTACGTACCTTAAATCCACAGCTTCAGAGAGCTTACTGATGAAACTGGTCCCCAAAACCTGACACCGTCGATGGTCAGATCAAGAAGAAAAGAAAAATGCAGTAACACTGAAGCTGAAGAAGCTCAACCTGTACTTTCGATAATGTTCGAGGCTCCAAAAAAGCACGTAGAATATTCCACAGGGCCTTAAACCCTGGTCCAGCATTAATAATGTATAGCTGATTGAGAGTCTGTCGATGGACAAAATGACAAATCAATGATATTGAAAAATCAATGCATTCTGTTGTGCTTCTATTCGTCTAGCTGTGATCCAAACGGATTCAAGTGTGTGAAGAAGAGAGTGTCTTTGCCGAAACAAATATGATTGCCTCGAACGTATGTACTTGCTTTTCCTAAAGGAGCCCATCCCATAACAAATTAAAAGTACCTGAACTCCATTTAAGTCGGTCAAATAGAAGTGGACAAATAAGAAAAGAAGAATTTGTTGTCATTGACATTTAACGATTAAATGATAAATATCTGGTATCAAAACATGTTCTAAACCCAATTAATTCAAAACATCCCTACATATCACATAGTATGTCAAGTATTTCTTATTCTATATAATAATTCTAGTATATAAAACACAAATTAAAACACACAAACCTCGGGGTAGTAGTTGCTGTCGATCTTTTGAATTTCTGTGAAAATCTCTCTGGCTGGCTTTGAAAAATTTTTGATACCCTATTGCCAACAGATTCAAATTTTAAGATATTCTCCGTTAAATAAGTAAGTCAGAAGATTCCCTCTTGTATAGAAGGAAATTAATTGTAATTGTATAGAAGATTCAAATTTTAAGATAATTCTCCGTTTTATAGACAAATATTGTGAAAAATTAATTGTAATCGTTTCACAAGTTAGCACACCCACTATTTTCTTTGACAGCCACTACGTGCCTTCACAGAATGAAGAAAACTCTGATTTTTAAGTAATGCTAAAACCAAACATCATTATACTAAGTTTTCTTTTCTATTATTTTCATAGGAACCAAATACAGCACAAATTTTCTAGAAAATCCCATTCTAATTCCGAAAAGAAATTTATTTGCAGTCCAAATCCTCAAACATGGCTGCCAAGAAGTGACATGCAATACAGAGAACAGAATTATGTTTACAAGTATTTTAAAAAAATCATGAAATTTATGAAGTCATGAAATGGGCGTAGCAGCTCACCTATCCAAAACAGGGAGGGAAGAGCGTCACCCCCTCACAGTGGGACCCACCTGTCCAAGCCGTAATTAAATGTCGTGGTCAATCTCTTTTGACATCAGCTCAGAATGGGCCCACCACCTTGTGAGCGGGATATTTTATGTCCTCCCTAAATTAAGGCGAGGCCACTCACTCGTGGCAAATCACATATTAAGTTTCAGATATATGTTCTGTTTCTCACTTCGGCCATAGACTAAATGCAGATAATATGTTTAAGCTATCATGAATTGTGGCTCTTTGATGCCCTCCCTCTACACTTCCTTACTCGTAATACAGTTTCACCTGTCATCATCAACTACAGGATATATGCTTCACAAACGATGCATGTATTAATGTTTTAGAAACATCTCACTGATGTTTCTACCGACAGATTAGCATTAATTCCATGTGAACTTTTGCAGAAATCATATTGAACTCTTGCTATTCCGTTTACCAGATATGCCTTATGTCCAGCTTCAAAAATAATTCCCAGGATATTTCAATCAAAAGAATGTTTTCTCAATGTAGTGGCATCTGAAACCTGAGCATCCTCAATGTTCATTGAACAAGGTGAAATTGAACTATGTCAAGCAATAGCTCTCATTAAGAAAAATATATGGAAAGAGTAATGTCATCATAATGATAAAATGGGAGACTTACTAGTCCTTCCACGTCTAGAATAGCTGTTATGGATGCTATGTGCCTCTTAGCAGCAAGTGAGCATGCAGGGAATCTGAGATTTAATGTTTTCTCTTGTTCTACAACATGATGCTTGACGAAGCGGTCGACTGTTGTCACAGTCAGTAGGGTGTTGAAATCTATGGAACCAATCCTTTCTATGTACAATGGCCTTCCCACATTATCAACTCCATGATATCCACGTGGATAACATTGTTGCACAGCGTCATACTCCTCAAACTCAAATTCCTGCGGTGCACAATGTGGTTGTACACATTAATCGACATCATCACTGCTTTAATGAGCGAATACGAGAACACTAGAGAACACCGTACTGCAGTTCGTAATGTCTCGGGAAGAATTAGAAGATTGCATCTGGGTTATTGAACACATTTTAATATCTGATGAAAATTTGATACTAGCAGAAAAGGGTGATACTGTTAAAGAGAGGGAAAAAGAACAAATGATCCATATATTAATTACCCTTGCGATCACATCGACCCTATTGTCTTCACGCCACTTGAGCATATTAACAAACATGATTCTGGTCTGTGCTAGGTCGAAGTTCCTCATTCGCAAAAAACTGCAAATCAAAATGAAGAATAGTGCCATCGCATTAGCATTTGAGAAAAGAACTATGAATTCATGAAATAATAACAGGAACTGGAGAGTGTCTGCGCAACAAGCGAAGTCAAGGTTGGGATCTCATAATCTGCCATACCGGAGAAGTGTATGGTAATCATCATGTTTCTCCGGAAGTTGGCCAGTTGACGCGAGCAAGTCCCTCAGAGACTGCACCTGTTTCACTTCCTCGGGATCACGGACACCTTGAAAAATAGTGCGAAACGTGTCGCTTTTAGTGATCTTCGTGAGCGACTTCTGCAAGGACCTAAAGCTCATTTTTGATGCTAACGTCGGTTTCTTCTTCTTCTTCGGTAATTCTAGGAAATGCCAATGAGCTTCAAGTGGCGAGCTGCGTATACCGATCGTCTTCCGCTGCTGCCAACCCGCATTAGGTTTCGAATCCTTTCTCTTGGAATCAGCACTGTCATCGGATGTGGCTACCATTTGAGGACCATTCTTCTTCCATAATTTCATTTGTCCCAACACTTGGAGATTCTCTTCAAATGCCTTTCGCTTTTTTGGCAGTTGCAGAATTTTGTACCTGAACAAAAAACGACAATAGAATTGGCTTCAACTCCTGCTTGATGACTAGATATTTGAAGCAGGAAGACATGTTCCGACGCCAACCTTGAGGTCGTTTTCCGAATTATATGGCTAAGGTTATCAAGCCGTGATATAAATGACATGATATATCACGCCCCTCGCATCACTTGCAGGAATAAGGAAAGCAAACAAAACAACTTTTCTTTCCAGCTTCCAAATTCCAATGTCCAACGCCAAGCAATATCTATTTTCTTTATGATATGTGACGTTTGTGGGGAAGAAAAGAATATGAATGTGTGATTGGGAGAGAGATGGAGGGAGGAATGAGAGTCCTTCACCAGCTTCCAAGAAAGGCATATATGCACTTTTGAATACAGAACCTTTTTTTTTAATTTCATGAAGGATTGAATCAAGATAATAAAATTGTTCAAGAAACAGAATACTCCATACTGGGGAAAGGGAATAACTTTATTTTCTTATCAAATCACTATATACACCATCGGTGAATATTCTAATTCCCGTCTCTTCGCATTTAAAGTCTTTTGTACTAAAATATTTTGAGTGCGGTAAGGAAGGTCAATATTATTTTGTTTCAGAACATCAATTGATTTTGCAATGAAAATGCTCATATACTTATTTGCTAATGTAGGTAGAACTATCAAAAATTTAAAAGATTAATTATGAAGTTTTTTTATTACATGATTGTAAATGATTGACTTTATGATTATAATAATTATTACTCTAGAGTACTTATAAGTAATTAGTAATAGTTTTTGAGCTAACATTACATTTTTTATGAAATTATCGAGTGATTGCTAGATTTAATTGCTTGCTATACTTGCTCATATTTTAAGTTAAATATATTTTTGATACCGATTTCATTGGATGAATTTTTGAATTGTTTCTTCATTTCGAAAGTACTAATTCACATCTCTTAGTGCCTTCATGATCCATAGTTGGTATCAAAGCCAAATTCTCTTAGTTGGTTTAACACCCAAGAGAGATTATATGCCTTTCTCTAGCAATCAAGAGCGTCACTCTATCACTCGTCCTCCTATATTTAATGAAACAGACTATACGTATTGGAAGATATGAATGCAGATTTTTTTTTTTATTTCTATTGATTTTGATTAATAGAATGCCGTTGAATGTGGTTTTAAAAAATTCTTTAGACCAATCAATGAATGAAATGATCTAGAGAAGAAAATATTTTCTTTAAATGCTAAAGTTATGAGTACGTTGTTTTGTGCTTTAGATAAAAATAAGTTTAATCATATTTCTATATGTAAAATTATACATAATATTTGGCATACACATGAAGTTATTCATTAAGATACAAGTAGAATAAAAGAATATAAAATAAATCTTTTGATACATAGTTATAAATTATTTAGAATAAAGCCAAGTGAAACCATTGGTAACATATAAACTTGTTTTATGGATGTTGTCAATGGTTTGAAAGCTTTTAACAAATTTTTTAATAATCTTGAACTTATTAACAAAATTCAAAGATCAATTCCAAAAAGTTAGGATCCAAAGTTAACTGTAATTCAAGAAGTAAATGACTTAAACAACTTTCCTCTTGAAGAACTCAAAGGATCATTAATGACATATGAAACGACTTGCAAGATACTTGATGAACATGATAATAACCTTCCAAAGAATAGGAAGAATATTGCACTTAGAACTAAAGAAAACTATTGAATCTCATATTTTGATGATGAAATCAATTGTAAATTGTTTGATCTAATCCATTGAGAAAAGTGTGCAGGATTAACTACGATAGTAGTAAGACATAGAGCAAGTGTTGTGCCGGAGTCAAGATCGGGACTTCGTTGGGAGTTCGAGAGTTCGTCGGAAGTTCGGACATTCGTCGGAAATTCTGCTGGAACTGACCGAGAAGTCCAGGAGCTTGCCAAAGAAGCTTGTCGAAACTCACTAAAAAGATCGTCGTAAAGTTCAAAAGCTTACTGGGAGTCTGCCGGAACTTTGCCGAAGAGATTGTCGGAAGTTCGCTGGAAGGTCTCCGGAAGAACAATTGACGTACCGGAACAAGAGTGCCTTGTTAAATGTCTTAGTTATTGTAGTTAGACTGTAAGTTGAGTTAGGATTGAGAGGTAATCCCACTAACTCGGTTAGGGGTCAATTGGGCCCTTAACAGGGCTGAATTGGGCCGTATTGAACAGCTCATTCTGCACCTGAAACCACGGTCGACAGTGGCACTCCTAGGACTTGGTCTCTTAGGTGTTTTGGGCGGTGGTACCATCGGTAGTTAATACTGCCAGCGGTGGTACCGCTTAGTGTCAGAGTGATAGGCAGTGGTACTGCCTAGTAATGGCGATGGTACCGCCAGTACCTCGGAAAATCGGGATGAGATATTTTTTGGCTCCAATTTTGAAGTCATTGTGGCCTATAAATACTCAACCCTTTTCTACATAAAAGGGCACGAAAGTATTAACATAATCTTGAATTCTTGGAGTGTTAAAGTATTGTAAAAGTGAGAAGAGTTCTCCCCTCCCTCTCTTAGCTTTGTAACCATGAAAGAGGAGTGAGGCTTGTAAGGGTTATCTCCTAAACCCGACAAAAGGAGAAAGAGTTATAAAAGGTGATTAGTCTTTGCCTATTAAAGGAAGACTATTAATGGACACCGGTAACCTCGACGGAGATGAAATCGGAAGTGGATATAGGTCACAACGACCGAACCACTCTAAATTCTAGTTTGCATTTCTATTTGAGCAATTTACATTACTGCAATCTTCCTTAACTTTCTCTTTACACTCTTACGAACGCCTTCAAGTTTAATATCTTTTCAAAATGGATTTAATCGAAATATTTACCGAAATCAATGATTTTTTTGCTGCACTAATTCACCCCCCCCCCCTCTTAGTGCTGCTCTTGATCCTAACAATTGGTATCAAAGCACAGTGACTCTCATTTGGTTTGAAACCCAAGAGAGATAACATTTGCTAGTAACCAAGAGGGTCACTCAATTACACGTCTGCCCATGTTCAATAGAACGGATAACACCTATTGGAAGACTAGAATGAGGATTTTTCTAATTTATATGGATTTCGAATTATGGAACATCGTAGAAAATGGGTTTGAAAAGTCTTCTCTTCCGATGAATGATTGGAATGAGTTAGAGAAGAAGACTTTTGCTTTAAATGCCAAGGCTATGAATGTCTAGTTTTGTGATTTGGATAAAAAAAAGTTCAAACGAGTGTTCATTTGTGAAACAGTTTTTGATATTTGATACACACTCACGAAGGCATTGGTAGAGTAAAGGAGTCGAAAATTAATCTTTTAGTCTATACTTATGAGTTGTTTCGAATGAAACCGAGTGAGACTATTGGAGATATGTACACCCGATTTACGGATGTCGTCAATGGTCTAATAGAACTTGGTAAATTTTTTTCTAATTTCAAACTTGTTAATAAAATCTTGAGATCCCTTCTAAAGAGTTGAGAACCTAAAGTAACGGTCATTCAAGAGGCAAAGGATTTAAATAACTTTCCTCTCGAAGAACTTATCGGGTCACTAATGTCCTATGAGATGACTTGCAATGCTTATGAAGAGCTTGAGAATAACCTTCTAAAGAATAGGAAGGATATGACACTAAGAACTCAAGAAGGCCACTTGAAAGAAAATTCAAGTGATGAGGACTATGATGATGGCTTGGCACTCTTGATAAGAAAGTTCAAAAAATTTATAAAAAAGAGCAAATTTAAAAATAACTCTAATAATAAATTTGAACCTAAGAAAGAATAAGTTATATACTACGAATGTAAGAAGCCGAGACATTTCAAAAGCGAATATCCCCAAGCAAAGAAGAAGAAGGGTCTTAAAGCAATATGGGACGATTCAAGTGCATCTGAAGAAGAGGAGCCAACCAACACCGAGCAAGTTGCTCACTATACACTAATGGCTATTGGAGATGAGGTAAGCAGTTCGTTAGAAGCAAATTTATCTTTTGATGAGCTTTTAAGTACTTTTCATGATTTATTTGATGAATGTAAATTAGTTAGTAAAAAATATAAAGTATTATAAAAAGAGCATGATTCTCTTGTTACTGATTTTGATAGACTAAAAATTAAGCACGATGATAGTTTAGCTCCTTGTATAAAATGCAATGAATTAGAAAAACTTAAAAAGGAAAACTTGCTACTCAAAGAAACGTTAGAAAAGCTTAAGGTTGGTACAAGTCCTTGAATATGATCCTTGCCAATAAGGGTCACATTCATAGAAGAGGCGTAATTAGATTTATGAGTAGCTCTCACCAAAATCCAACCACCTTTGTTAAAGGCCCTACCTTGCATGTATCACCCCACATCAAATGTAACTTTTGTTGCAAACTTAGACATGTTGCCTATAAATGTCCACTTAAGAGGTATAGTTCACACAAATTGATTTAGATTCCTAAAGGAACCATAAAGAAATCTATGCAAAATGATAAGTTGAGTAGGTCGATTTTTTAGGTACCGTCGGTAGTTAATGCTGCCAGCGGTGGTACCGCCTAGTGTTAGAGTGATAGGCAGTGGTACCACCTAGTAATGACAATGGTACCGCCAATACCTCGGAAAATCGGGATGAGACATTTTTTGGCTCCAATTTTGAAGTCATTGTGGCCTATAAATACTCCACCCTTTTCTACATAAAAGGGCACGAAAGTATTAACATAATCTTGAATTCTTAGAGTATTAAAGTATTATAAAAGTGAGAAGAGTTCTCCCCTAACTCTCTTAGCTTTGTAACTATCAATGAAAGAGGAGTGATGCTTATAATGGTTATCTCCTAAACCCGACAAAAGGAGAAAGAGTTGTAAACGATGGTTGGTCTTCCCCTATTGAAGGAAAACTATTAATGGACGCCGGTAACCTTGACAAAGGAGGAATCAGAAGTGGATATAGGTCACAACGACCGAACCACTCTAAATTCTAGTTTGTATATTTGAGCAATTTACATTACTGTAATCTTCCTTAACTTTCTCTTTACACTCTTATGAATGCCTTCAAGTTTAATATCTTTTTGAAATGGATTTAATCGAAACAAATATTTACCGAAATCAATGATTTTTTCGCTGCACTAATTCACACCACCCCCTAGTGCCGCTCTTAATCCTAACAATTGGTATCAAAGCACGGTCATTCTCATTTAGTTTAAAA